TAGTAATAAATAATATATATATATATATATATATATATATATTCATAGAAAAATATGAATACAAATTTTACTAATATATAATTAATATATAAATATATAATTATAATATTAATGTGTTAAATAATAACAACATATATATATCTATATACTCAATTATACATACATAATTTAAAACACCCTCTATTGGTTGAAACTTTACAAATTTGACAAAATCAAACTGATCATTTGAAATCGTTTTATTAGTTTGTTTGTTTTTTTGTTTTCAAAGGGACTTTTTCACAACAATAGCAGATATGGATCTTTAAAATGCTCATTCGCTAACCGATGTGAATTTCAGTTCAAGACTATTGAAAAGCTAAAACACCATCATGCAGAAAGAGAGAGAGAGACAGACGGCCTAAAAGAGTGAGAGAATCTGGAGAGGGCAACATCTCAGGAGTAAGACATGTCCTGCTGGAGACTGTTTAACACTCTACAAGCGCACAGAGGCTGAGAATCCATTTATTTTTGCCACAACAACACAAAATCAAAGGGGCACAAAAGCAAACGTGCACGTCAGCAGAGCCATTCAAGCATCTGTAATATTTGTTCTTTGAGCATCTAATGTGACGGGAATGACGTTGAGCTGAAGCAGGGTAATTCATCAGCTCTATGAACTATACAAACCACTCGTTTCTAATTAACAGTCTGAAAATGAAACGTACACGTTATCATGATCATCATCATCATACACTCGCTCACTCGCTGTAGTCTGAACTCTAAAGTTCGTGTTTAGTGGTGTTAGACAGGCATTCCCATTGGTCCTTATGGGAGGCATGAGTGACAGGTCCATCAGCCAATGGCTGACTCCGATCAACTAGAGGGGAAATTAAGCCCCTCCCCCAAATCAAATAAAAAGGTCATGGATGAAAACAAAACAAAAGGAAACCTAGAGGAGCTGCAGCAGCCAGCGGGCAGAGACAGAGAGGTGTGTGTGTGTGTGTGTGTGTGTGTGAGAGAGAGTGTTTGCAGGATCCAGTGGTTGTGGTCAGAACCTCTCCGCTGCCGGCAGCGTCCGACTCACTTTAGTAGATCTTTGATGGCCTCGCTCTCGGCCGCCTCGAACGCACTGAGACCATCCGGACCTTTCCGTTCCTTAACAGCACCCTGGAGGCACACACACACACACACACACACACACACACACACACACACACACACACACACACACACACACACACACACACACACACACACACACACACACACACACACACACACACACACACACACACACACACACACACACACACACACACACACACACACACACACACACACACACACACAGTGATTAAACACACAAGTCCTGCAGCAGAAACATTAACACACACACTTGCATTCATCCTTATAAACACACAGGTTCACATGCGGGGCGGGTGTGTGTGTGTGAGAGTGTGTGTGTCCGAGCGCTGAGAAGAGATTGAGACACACTTACACAACACTGCGGTGATTCAAGACCAAACCATTCTTATTCTTACACACACACACACACACACACACACACAAGGCTCTAGTACACACAACTATTACACAACACTATGGTATACAACATAACATTTTATTATCTTAAAAGAAAAGTTACAAAATCATTTTCTTTGATTTTTCTGATAACAGTTGAGATTGCGACATATAAAAAAATACCCAGGTTTGCTGCGCTTCTTTGTAAGGCTGCACAATTTTGCCCAAAATTTTGTGATTATATATTTATATGACTATTATTATTACTATTACTACTACTACTAAATAAATATATAAACAAAATAAATTATAACAGTATAGTAGAATAATGAGTATTTATTATTATTATTATTAATAATAATAATAATAATAATACATTTATTTTACAGCACAACTAACAGTAAAATTTAAATTCTAAAATGTATTATTATTTATTTAATTATATCAAATGCTTTTACAGTGATTTTTCTGATTGCTGAGCTGCACAATTTGGTCAAAAAAATTGTGATTATATATCGATATGACTACATTATTATTACTACTACTAATACTACAACTACTAAATAAAAATTTACACAAAATAAATTATGACTAAAATAAAAAAGGGTATTTAATATTCATCATCATCATTTTATTTTACAGTACAACTGTAAAATTACAATACTGATATTTATTATTAAATTAAATTAAATGACATCCTTTCATAGTCAAAAGAGCATTGCGTTAGCAACGCAAAGGTCGTGGGTTCAATTCCCAGGGAACACACATACTGACAAAAAATGTATAGCCTGAATGCACTGTAAGTCGCTTTGGATAAAAGTGTCTGCTAAACGCATAAATTAAATTTTTTTAATTTTTTTAGTGTTCATAAATGCAGCGCTGCTTTGTTTACAGTGGTAACTAGGGATGCACCGATACCGATACTGGTATCGGGCCCGATACTGGCCTCCTGTACTCGTACTCGTTAAAATGCCCCGATACCAAACGCCGATACCACACAGCATGTGATAAGCGCCATATTCAAACAAAGAAACACTGACAACAGACAGCAGAAAGGAGTTATGGATGTCTACTACGAAGTATATGTATGCAATGAATATAATGTGGAAACACTGTATCATTGCTGTTCATAAGCGCCACCTGCTGGCAGAGAGTGAATCTGCGTCTCATTCAGCTCGTCTGCTGCTTCGTATGTAGTATAGTTTCACAAAACTAAAGTCGGACCATTCTGTTTTTGCTTCACATTTCGAAACTATACAGTCTAATTTAGATTAAAAACTGCTCATGCTGCATGTATGCTGCATCTTCGTTTGGATCAAGATTAAAATAATTCTAATTTTAAATGGAAAGAGCACAGACAAAGCTTTAGTTTGTTCATAATAAGAGATTTCTTTCATTTGTGTAACTCGCTTGTTCGATTTGGGGTTCGCTTTAAAATTTAAATTTTGTTTTGTTATATTCCAATTTCACAAAGAAACGTGCAGCAATAGCCTAATAAAATGACACCTTTTCATTTACTGTATAATGTCTTCAATCTCATTTTGTTAAAAAAATATAAAAATCGTGAGAAAATCGAATCGTGAGTTGAGTGAATCGTTACATCCCTACTCATAACCTATAAAAACATGTTTTACAGTCAGGCGAGCACTAAAATATTGACGTTCTTGTGCTTCTTCTCCCTTCAACAAATAAAGCAGCTCAGAGAAACGCGTCAGAAGGTCCCTAATTCTGCAGTTTCATCCAGAGTAAACAGACTTCACACCGTTACGACCCAACATTATTCAAGAAATAAAGAACAATTTACAGCAGATTAGCCTTCCACCCGACCAATAAGAGCTGATTACGCCGTTATTGAGTAACAGCGAATCTCATGCATAATCTACAGGAGCCGGACCTGCGGGGCCCCTCAAACTCGAGGGTAATCCTTTACAGAAATATTATCCTGCGGGCGGATCGATGCTGCGTATTGATCGTCACTGTGGATGCGGACTGAATTATTCCTCTTTACACACAGGTCAGTGTCTGCAGTCACAGCTTTACTCTGAACTCACTCAGCTTCAGCGGCCGAAAGCGAAGGCCATCACACATCTGACTTCGCTGTGAAAACACCAGCGGGCACCGAACACAAACCACTTCATTCTTTAGTTTCACATCTCTCACCGCATAATAAACGTCTGTTCAGCTCGGTGTTTGTTCCCTGCGCTGTGGTCAGTGCTGATGCATGCTGGGTAGAAACTCATTAATCCAGATACTGACCCTGTGCTGTACACATGATAACTCAATGCAACAATCACATCAGCATTAATAAAAGTTTGCTGAAAGTAGACGGTGATGATCATAATTCAAACTTTCCTCACAAATCATCTACTGAACTGCAAACATTTTATAATGGCTGACAAGACAACTCATTAGCATATAATTTGCATATCAAAACCTACTGGATATTCAGCAGCTTGGTGGGTAGTGGCTCATTTCGTATGCGAAGAGGTTAGCCAATCACAGAGCTCATTAACAGGTCGAGTTCTTAAAGATACAGCGGTTTCATTTTTGGAATGATCATCAAAAACTAAACTAAACTATTAAATTATGCCTTTAAAAAACATGTCATACTTGAGTTATTACATTTTAAAATAGAAATTAAATAAGATATATAAGAAACATTCCAAAACTAAATTTAGATAAACTTTTGAAGGTTATTAACAGAATAAAACATTTATTTATATTTTTTAAGATGTCTATATAGTTTTTTTAATTAATTTTATTTCTTAGTTTATGTTCATTTTAGACATTTAAGTACTTTATTTGCATATCAACACCTATTGGATAACTGCAAACATTTTATAATGGCTGACAACACAACTCATTAGCATATCATTTGCATATCAAAACCTATTGGATATTCAGCAGCTTGGTGGGTAGTGGCTCATTTCGTATGCGAAGAGGTTAGCCAATCACAGAGCTCATTAACAGGTCGAGTTCTTAAAGATACAGCAGCAAAAACAGGCCATTTAATTTTAGGGATAATCTTAAAAAAAAACTAAATTAACTATTAAATTATGATTTGGCAAATGTTTTAAGTGGACTTCAGGGGAAGATAAAAGGAATAGAAGAAGTAGAATATAAGCTCTTAAAGAATAAAATGAATGACATGATTATGCTGGAGATAATTATGGAAGTTTTACTTCCTGTTCAGAGCATCTGACAACTAAAAACAAAAAGAGGAAGTGCTTTTCTATCACTCTTTCTGTCTGTTTCAGTCATGTGACTCTTCCTCTCATCTGCTATATGTATGAGCATCAGTGTGGGAAAGTAAAGGAGTTAATATAAAAACACATCAACGGTTGGCAAGAAAAACACAGATCACCAGATCCAGATCTGATCCACAGCATCTCCAGATTTGTTTGTTTGTTTTAATGCCATTCCAGCTTCAACAGCTATTTTCATGGTGCAAATCATTATTAAAATTAAAAATTTAAACTAAATTAGATATTTAAGATATCTAAAACTTTTGCCTTTTGCAGTTTTACATTCACACATTAAAGGTAATTAAAACTGGAAAATATGGCAGATCACAATTAATCGCGGATCATTTAGAAAATCAATCATATGAAACTTTCTACTTAATGTAAAGCAGTGCTGAAGTTATCAATGACTTAGCCATGAGAATATTTTTAATCATTGAAATAAACATTCCTAAGCTTAATCACTACTGATGCTTTTATTATTTTTCATTTTATTGTGATTTTTTTTGTCACATGAAATATTTAAATAATGTACAAGTAATGGATATAAATAAATTAAAATCAATGTAATAATAATAATACTACTAACATAAATGATAATAATAATAATAATAATAATAATTTAAGGAAAAAAAATCACAAGTTTTCATCGAAAGGGCTTGATTTTCATTTGATTAAAAGATAAATTAATATAATATTTTATGCCTTCATTTGATGACCAGAAAAATTAAACTAAACAAAAAAATCATATATAAAAAAATCATAGGTCCCTATTATCGTAAAGGGGAAAAAAACGCTGTAAAAAAAAAAAAGAAGCTTTAATTAAAATGTTATTAATCAAACCATTAAAGATTCATGATCGCAATTAATTAGACATACTTTTTGGTTACTAAAACCATTAAATGTCCAGAAAGCTTAAAATGGGGTGACAAAATTTAATTTGGAAGAAAAATAACAGAATTTTTGGGAAAAAAAAGAACGAACGTATTTCATAGGGCCCTATTACTGGTGTATCTTTAACAAGGGAAGTAAGTTCCTCCCCAACTTCCTGTTTGAGTACAGGACGACTCCAGAAAGCCCTGCACTCGTCTAGTGACCCGATGGAGAATAAGCTGAAATATTCCTCCACAAAAGCCTGATCAGTGATCAGCATGTGAGCGGCGCAGAGGAGATGTGTGTGTTGTTGTGTAATCTCAAAGGGGATCTCAGTGAAGAATGTGCAGCGCTGTGCTGCATTATATAACCCCGTCTGACCCTGCGGATGCCACAGTTTACAGCCGCGTTCAGATGCTTTCAGCTTTAAAACCCAAACAAAAGCTCTTTCTCTGAACGCACAGCAGCACTGGACGCTACGACAATATACACAACACAACAGCAGAACTGTGCAGCCAGCAGAGATTCTGAGCGCTTATGTTTACATGTGAAAATGAGCAGCAGTGTCCTAAACAAGTCGACATGAGGAGGGGGGTTTATTAGGCACGATAGGAACATTAAACAACCTGTCACTTTAATATAGATTTCTACAGATGCATGTCATAGGCGTGTTTATATTGGCTGTTTTTTATTTTCAACACACACTCACTGTAAAAACAAATCTAGGGCACAATGTGCTATATCAATATGAAGGAATTTTCCATATTTATCTTTTACAAGTGTTTTATCTGTATTTTGAAGTTTGCACTTTTTTCTCATTGTGTTTTATTGGACATTACTGGATAATGTCCTGGCAGAAAATTACTAGTATATTTTCCTTTTTTCCCCCCTTTCTTTTTACAGTGTAGAATTTATTAAATAATATTATATTATTTAAATAATTTTAATGATATAATTTAAGAGTATTGGCTATTTTTTTTTATTATTAAATTATAATTCTAAACAAGTAAAATATAATTAAATATTTTAATATTATTTAAGTTTATTAAACAAAAAATATAAATAATTTATTACATTATTTAAATCATTTTAATTATGATTAGTTATGTGTGTATTAGTATGATTTTTGTGAGTTGTTTTTGCAGTATTTCAAATAATTTCACTGGATTATCCCAAAATATAAACAAATATATTGCTATTAAATTGCATTTTTGATAATAAATAATCATTCTAAATAAGCAAAATATAGTTTAAAATTATTAAAACACTTGTGTAATATATATATTATTTAATATAAATATTATATTAAATATAAACATTTTAATAATTAATAAATAAAAAAGATCAAAATGTATCATTTAATTTAATTATATAATACTGTATTATTTTAATTATATAATTCTTTTATTTTGAACTCAAGTGTTTCATAATGTGAATCACTGGATTATCCCACAATATGCACATATTATTCGTTATTTAAACTATAAACCATTTTTGTTGAATTTCCATTGGAAAAATGTGATGTATAGCATTACTGTCACCTATTATATCACACTGTGATGTAAGATTTTGCTCAGCCGCCCACCTGTATCACACACACACACACACACACTCACACACTCACACTCACACAGACACACACTCACACAGACAGACACACACTCACACAGACACACACAGACACTCACACAGACACACACACAGACACTCACAGACACACACACACACTCACACACAGACACACACACACACACACACACACACAC